AAAAAAAAAAAAAAATTCAGAAATAGATTCCAGACCTCTCCTAACAAGTGAAAAAAATGGCAACCTTGAGCTTTTATTCCCAGAGGGCAAAAGTTGACACGAGCTGAGTTTAAGCACTAGATGCCTCCTTTTGTCAGAGCTTGTATTCTCCAGTGTTCCAGTCCTTGCCCCTCCCAATTTCCCCCCCAAAACGTAGACTAAGTGTCATTGCACAGGCGCTGCTGTTTTCTTATAGAAAAGTTAAGAGGAAAGTCAACTCTTTCTTGTCTCTATTAAATTTTTTCTTTCCTTATGGTCCACTTTACTCATTATACTACCTGCCTGGACCCTGTTGAATTTTGAGTTTGCAGCTCCCAGTGTAGAGGAGCGTCCTGGATCCTGAGTCCTAGTGCTTACTTTGCCACAGCCCACCACGGGACCTCGAGCACAGCCAATGGCCTCTTTGGATCTCTTTGGAGTTAGGAGACTACACTGGATGTTCTTTTAAACATTCTAACATCCTAGAGGACTTGGGATCTTGCAGTAGGCCAGTACTCTGTTCCCTCCCCCAACACACACAAACAGCAAGGGGGGCCCAGCCCGGTGTGTATGTCAGAGAAAGAAGACACTGGAAGGAGTAAGGTGCCTATATCAATAATGTATAACTTGAGCCCGGAGCCAGGGAGAGGAATGTACACTCTGTGTGTGTGTGTGTGTGTGTAACTGGAAGTGGGATCAAATAAGCTGTTGTTGTATAGGTTTGTGCTTATCTGTTCATGTGTACTTTCTGTGTACCAGGCTCTATTTTAGGTGCTAGGGATGTAACAATGAATAAGACAGACAAGGTCTCTGTTATCATGGAGCTAATATTCCAGTGAAAGTCACAGATAATATACAAATAAAGAAAATACATGAGATAATTTTAAAGAATGGAAAGTTGCATGAATACAATGAAACGGAATGATTTGGTAGAGAGCGTCTGGAGGGGCAAGCTGTGCACAGAGGTGGGCACATAAATGCGGCGTATGTACTTGCAGAGAGGCCCATGTTTGGGCCCTGGATCCATAGAGGTATGCTTATTTGTGCCTATGTGTGAAAATGGGCAGTTTCTTATGCTTATGATATTTTATATGTTAGCGTAGGTGCTCTATTATATTATGCATGTGGGTGCACACTGGCAAGCTGGAATGTGATATGCACGTGGAAACGTGTGCATGGATGGGTACGTGGTATATGCCTACATTTAGCCATAACTGGAGATGTTCTGAAGTTCCTGTGGCAGTCGTCAGTGGGCCAGTTAAGGAAATGGCTGTTTTGCCTCTGGCGTTCAGGGCTATTTGCCAACTTCCTCTCTCCCTGTTCCTTCCCACTTTAAAGAGCTCTCTCTCTCTGCTTGGCTCCTCTCAGCCCTGGTGGGGACTAAGCCAAGGAAAGGATAGTAACTGACTCATCTGAGCCAGGAGCTGGAAAGAAGCGGATAATCTTCTGTGTAACCTCCAAAGGTCTGGCTTCTCTGCTAGTCTCTGTCCTTCACGCTGGGAGGGGACAGAGTCCTAACTTGAAATCAGAAGACCTAAGGATCTATTCTTGGCTCTGCCACTTATTGTGTGACCTTGGCCAAGCTATTACATCTCTCCTGGTTTCAGTTACCTCCTTCATAAGTACTCTGGGTAGTATAGTATTTAGGGAGGGCTATGTGGGGTGCTGGCGCCTGAAGGAGGAAGGAAGGCCTTCTGAGTAGGGGCAATGGCAGGACCAAAACAGTGTGGCAGTATGCTTTTGTGTGTAAGGGAAGCCAGGAGGAGCCCATTTAGAATAAAATTCAAACTTCTTTCCATTGCCTACAAGGCCCTATGTGATCTGGCCTATCTCTTATTCTTCCCTCCTTGTTCACTATGCTCCAGCTAAACTGGCTTCCTTTCTGTTCTTTGAATAGGCCAAGTTCTTTACCACCTCAGTGCCTTTTCAAATTTCAATATTCTCTCTGCCCAAGGTACTCTTCCCAAGAATTCATATAGTTGCCTACTTCTCATTACTCAGGTCTTAGCTCAAACATCACCTCCCTGGGGAGAGGCCTTCCCTGACCGTCATATTTAAAATAGTTGTTTTCTAATGTTTATCAGTATTTAAAATGCACATATCCTTTGACCCAACAGTTTTACTTCTAGTAATTAATCATACAGATATATGTATTTGCAAGTGAGTAAAATGACACATGAATAAAAATATTCATTGAAGCATTTATTAAACAAATTATGGCACATACGAACAGTAGAACATTATGCAGATGACAAAGAAATGAAACAGCACTGTAAGTCTTAATGAAGAACGATATCAAGGTTTATTGTTAAATTTTTTAAAAACCAAGATGACCGAGCTCTATACTTAAGCTTTGTGCAGTTTATTAGATGTATATTATACTCAATAAAAAAGCAAGATACAGAATAGAGTGTATTGTGTGCCATCATTTGTACAGAAAAGCAGTGAGGCTATATAAACACAAATATGTGTATATATGCTTGTCTGATAGGCCTATCCTGTGGTTAAAGCAGCCCTTTCCCACCTCTGCCCACCCCATGCTTGGTGCTTATCTCTCCTCCGAACAGCATTAAAATTTAATTTTTTAAATTCAATTTTTAAATTTCCATCTTCAATGATATCCCAAGGACCTTACGTAAGAGGCTAACAGTGTAGCCTTCTTCCAAAGTGATTATATTGGTCACTCCACACTAGTTCAGTTTCCCTACACCTTCCATCCTAATTAGGAGTGGCCTTGTCTGCATATTGACTATTTCTGGAAAGTTATACAACACAGGGTAACAGTGGTTGCCAGTTGGCAGGGTGATTGGTGTGGGAGGGAACTCCTCATCACATATCTTTTTATGTAGTACCATTTGTGTTTATCACTTATTCAAAAAAATCATAAAATTGAAAAAGAAAAACCACTGGGTGAGAATATAGTTAAATCTTCACATATAATCATGAACATTCCTGAAGCTTTCTTTTTAAAAAGTATTTCTCCTCAAATAATGTTTATCATAATCTGAAATTATCTTGATTGTATTAGTTGTGCGTTTCTTGCACTATCACTATCATTGGATTAGAAGCTCTATGTTTCAGGGATTTTGCTTACTTTGTTCATCAGTCCCTTATTTCTATATGTGTATGTAGTACATAGTTGTTGAATTAAGCAAATGACGGAATGACCAAAGAAACCAGGCCGAAGCCTAGGGAGGCGTGTGAGGCAAGGCTGAGGAGATAGACAGAAATCAGCTGATAGAGGCTGGGATTTTCAAACTTTAAATGTACATCGGAATCCCCTACTGATTCTTTATACCAGCTTGCAGTGAAGAAGTGGCTTCTTGGACCCTGTAGTTCTGATTCAGTATGTCTGAGTTGGGGCTCAGGAGTCTACATGTTAACAAGTTCCCTAGGTGACTTGGGTGCAAGTTATCTGGAGACCCCACTTTATATCTGTGATATAATTTCTCCTTAATACATCCCTAGGATGGAAGATCAAAGACCATCATCCCATTTTATCAACCTAAATGGGGCTCAGAGATGAACAGTTCATTTTTAATGACATATAACTTGTGTATAAAGTATACCTTGAAAGACTAAAGTATCTGACCAATCAGTTAAAGGTGTGGTGGTAGATGGTTCACCGAGTTTCACCAGGCCTCAGTATTACTGAATGGATTTTATTTATTTATTTATTTATTTATTTATTTAAGATTTTTATTGGGGAATTGAGGGAAGGGAACAGTGTTGGGGAATTGGGGAAGGGGACCAGCCAAGTTGTTGTTCTTCAGTCTTTGTTGTGGAGGGCGCCAGTCGCCATCTGGCTTTCCGTTGGCAGCTCGTGGCCTCTAAGCTCAAGGTGCTGTGTTCAGTCTTTGTTGTGGGTGGGTGTAGCCACCATCCCATGTGGGAGTTGAACCAGCAGACTTGTTGTTAAGAGCTCACGCTGTATCCACTGAGCTATCCGGGCAGCAGCTCAGCTCAAGGTGCCGAGTTCAGTCTTAGTTGTGGGTCGGTATAGCCCACCATCGAACAGGCAGTCTTGTTGTTACACCAGCTGAGCCATCCTGCCACCTGTTGGCAGCTCAGCGACAGCTCAGCTCGGGCGCAGCGTCACTGGCCCATGTGGGAATCAAACCGGCGGCCCTGTTGCTCAGAGCTCACGCTCTTAAGCCAACTCTTAACCAACTGAGCCACTTGGCGGGCTCCTGAGTGGATTTTATGACTTCCTGGTTTTTCGTTTGGGGAAGAGATTATATTCCCTAATCTAATGACTGGCTCTTTCTGATTTATCTCAGGGAGGGCAATGAGCCAGAGGAGACCACCCAGATCACATACCGTGAACTTTTGATCCAAGTGTGTCAGTTCAGCAATGTTCTCCGAAAACAGGGTGAGTATGTGTGTGTGTGGGGGTGTGTGTGTGTGTGGGGGGGGGATGTACGGGAAGGGGACTGGAGGGTCTGGCTTTAGGGTATCTGAGGACTTGGGAGAAATAGACAAGGGATGGAAGGAATGTGGTAGCAGGAATAGGTCAGCTGGGGAGTGGGGTGGTGGCTGGATGAGAGGGAACACTGAGTAGCAGCAGGAAGTGTCCATGGTCCATTGTCTGTGTTCTTTACCTGCAGGCATTCGGAAGGGCGACCGAGTGGCTATTTACATGCCCATGATACCGAAGCTTGTGGTAGCCATGCTGGCATGTGCCCGCATTGGGGCTCTTCACTCCATTGTGGTAGGAATTCGGGCTGGTAACAGGGACCTGGTGAGGGGTGGGGCTCTGGAGAAGTAGGTTGGGCCTGGATGATGGAGGATCTTAAGAACCAGACTAAGAGTAACTATGTATGATGCCAGGTGGGTACTAGACTTTTTGGGGGTAATCACTTGGTAAATCATATAAATGTCTAACCACTATACTGTACGCCTGAAACTAACGTAAAATAATATTAAATGTCAACTGTAATTGAAAAAAAAATGAGCATGCTAGAGTAAAAAAAATAATAATAGTAAAATAAAATATAGGGCTCAAATGAGCTCTCCATTTACTGGCAAGGAAAAAAAAAAAAGAAAGAAAAAAGACAAACCAGACTAAGTACTTTAGAATGTTGACGTCATAGGTTCCATATCAGTTATCCACTTTCTTCTAGAACCCTGACTTAGAGATCCTGAAGGTTTTATGAGTGACTCCTTTCTTTGTTCACTTAATCCCTGAGTTCTCCTCTCTCTCAGTCTTTCTTCCCTTCCCTAGTTTGCAGGCTTCTCTGCAGGGTCTCTATGTGAACGGATCCTGGATTCCAGTTGCAGCCTTCTCATCACTACAGGTGACTAATTCTCTCACCCCTTCTCCAGCACCACTACACCCTAAGTCTTTGTCTACAATTAGCTAGTTGGAGTTTGGGACTGCTCAGCATAGAGGGTAAGGACTGCCTGCCCTTCATCTCCTGGTTCTACCTCAGCCAGCCCTCTGTCAGCTCAACCAGCTAGAAGAGCCTGAGTTAAGAAGCCCGCTCAGGAAGGACTCTGTGAACATTGTGCTCACTAGGGATGAGGGGCGAGGAGTATGGCACCTTCCTAAGGCCTGGAATGTCTGTTGCTCCCCAAAGATGCCTTCTACAGGGGGGAAAAGCTTGTGAACCTGAAGGAGCTGACTGATGAGGCCCTGGAGAAATGTCGGGAGAAGTAAGTGTGTTTGGCAGGTTGGCTACTTCTCTGGGTTCCAGATTCCCTTTGTCCTTCCTACCCTAGATGGACACGGGTGGGTTCTGTCAAATTCTCTTGGAGCCAACCAACCCAGCACTTCAGGGTTTTCTTTCCGCCAGGGGTTTCCCAGTGAGATGCTGCATTGTGGTCAAGCACCTGAGACGGTCGGAGCTGGGCACAAGTGACTCTTCCAGCCAGTCTCCACCAAATAAGAGACAATGCCCAGATGTGCAGGTGAGTCTGGTTTTGCTATGCCCTCCTCTGGGCTCAAATTGGCTCCCTCTTTTGCCCAGGAAGTTCCTGATATCCTTCTTTGCTTCCTCATTATAATGCTGAGGATCTGGGAGCACTCCTAAGAATGCCTCCTCTGGCAGGGCTAGCTGGGAGCTGGGGGATTTGACCTTGAATGTAGGTAGAGAGTCCTTTGTACCTTGGGAACTTAGCATGAGATATTGTGAGGGAGACTTCTGTGCTAATTGGGGTATCCTGACAGGCACAAGGGACCGTAGAGCTTGACCTTGGTTTAGAAATGGACCGATTAGATAACTAAATGTATCCATCTGGATTACTGGGTTGTGTGTGGCTTGGGGTGGGTGACTTGTGTGGATCTGGTCCTCAAGATATGGCCCTTGTTAGCTTTGGACCCAGTGCTTTTGGTGGAAATGGTGGAAAAGCCCAATGGTGGCCTCTAGGTCTAAAGGACATGAAGAATAAAAGCTCCGGGGTCCAGAAGAACAGAGGGTTTCTGAGATTCTATGACTTGAGGGGCCCTTAAGTGGCCTTAGGGCTAGAGAGGCTATAGTCTACTCCAGGGAGTTGGAGACCCCAGTCAGCATTAGGGATTTTGAGTGTATAAGGGCTGGGAACAGGATCAGGAAAATGGAGGCTTGGGAAGACCAATGAGAGGGGAACCTGAGGGAAAGGAGGCAGCCATAGGTTTGGGGCACACTGACCCTTCCCTCCTGCTTCCCTATACTTGGACCCTGCTCACCACCCTTTCCGTGGGCTCTTAACAGGGTAAGCCGAAAGTGAAACCCAAGCACATCTGGCCCCAGGTATCCACCTCTGCACTGTCTTAGGCACTGCTTTCCTGCGTGCTTGTCTGTGTGTCCATTTGCTCTTTGCCTGTTTACCCTGTTGAGGTGGCTGCCAGACCTAACCCCCTTCTCTCTGCCCCTAGGTCCTTTGCCATCTAAGTCACTCTGAAGGGTTGTGAAATCAAGGCCTGTTGCTACCTCTCTGAACTGGCACTGAGCATGGATCTCAGGGAGATAGCCCATTTCTCTCTTGCTGCTCATGACCTTTGTGGGAGAGAGAACCAAGTAACCCGACAGAATGTTTTTACTGTGCATTTAGCTGGGGGCAGAGCCAGGAAAGATAGGAGGAGGAATAGCTAGAGGAAATTCCGACCTTGACCATGGGAATTCATCATCAAGTTGGGGAGCTAGACATGTATTACAAATGAAAACCTAAGTTTTATATAGGGCAGCAGAGAAGAAGATTCCTAAATATATTTATATACTACTTTGGGATTTACAAACTGTACATAAACTCTCTCATATAATTAAGTGCTAAATTGGACATAAGTTACATTGTATAATAGGTAGTTCTAAGAAGGGAGATCCTTAAATGGGGACTCAAAGCAGATGAGCATAGAGGAGAGACTGGGTTCAGGAGGAGTCCAGAGACCAGTTTTCAGCTGTATGACTTTGAATAAGTCATCTCTCCATTCTGAACTTCAGTTCCCGTATCAGTAATGGAGAGATGATAATACATGCTTATTAAAAGGAAATTGCTTTCCTTAGAAAAACAAAGCATAAAACCCACTACTCCTCTGAGTTTTATCATCCTCATAGGGTGTCTTACTCTAAATCTCTTATTGTTAACCTCTTAGGCTAATGGTAAATACAATCCCTTTTCTCTATTCTCATTAGCATGGCGGAGACAGATCTGCTTCCCACAGGATACTGCTTTTCTTTTAAAACTCGGGCAGAGACCTAAGACTTTTCTCTTGAAGGAGGTAACAAACTTAGAGTATAGGCTCTGGAACCAGACTTCCTGGGTTCAAATCCTGGCTCTGTTACCTGCCACTGGAGCTTGGGAAAGTTACTTAAGCTTTCTTACCTCAGTTTCCCCATCTGTAAAATAAGGATAATAATTGTACCTACCTGATGGGGTTTTGTCAATATATGTAAGGTATTTGGCACATAGTAACTACTCCATAAATGTTAGCTTTTATTGCTTTTAACAGCAGCCAGGTTGGCATTTCTAAGAGGGAAACCAGAAAACAAACTCTTATAATTCTTAATACCAGAGACCTTCAGGCCACAGGCTCCTGGATTTTTGTTTTTTGAAGGTAAAAACAGTTACCAAAAAATCAAAGACCATGAAAATGGGCTTACAAAGTCCAGGATTGTTGGCCCGAGAATTGCAGTCAAAGCTGCAGAAATCTTGGCAGAGCTCCAAATTCCCTCATCCTGCAGCAATCTTCATGGGAGGGCCTAGCCTAGTTTGTAAGTGCCCTCAACCATGTCACCTATGAGCATCATCGTGTTCCTCTCACACCGGGCAGCTGACCTTCCTGAGGCTATCCTAGTCCAAGGCCAGGGGTCAACTCCTCAATTCATATTTCAGAAAATTCAAACGTTTTCCTGGTTCAAAGCTCTGGGCCCTCATAGACACACACCTAATTCACAAACAATGTTTGTGGCACTAATTGAACTCACCCTGCTTCCTGGTGCTGGTTATCTGCTCCACACCTGAAGTACCCCCCACTCCCCACCGCCTTACTCACATATCCACAAAGGAAACAGTTTTGTAAGAGTCCTCTCATTGACACAGTATAACTTGCCCTTCCATGTACCTCGTGCCTTTTCTCTGACAATTCACACCAGTGCTGTAGACCAGTACCATTTGCCCCAAGCAATATCAAAATACTTCTGCTTAAATACATTAATGCCTTCATCTAAAGTAGACCATTTGGCAAGGAAAAAAGTGTTCATGTGACAGGGTATGTGTAGACCCATATGGCTATTCCACTTAAAAATAGGGTGTGTTTTTGTGTTTTCTAGCTCGTTGGCAGCTTCTTTCTTTCTTTCTTTTTAAATTTTTAATGGTGCTTCACTTGGCCTGGGCTTGTCATCCTTATGATGCTTATGCGCCCGAAACTTCAAATTCTCTAGTGTAAGGGGCAGATAGTATAGAAAGAAGGGAGTGGTTGGAGAGTCATTTTATAAGTTATCATACAAGGGCGTTTTTATAAGGAATATAAAACTATTTATTGACTACTGTTTATCAGTATTTATAATAAAGTAAACAACATACAGCTGGATAACATTCTGATTACTACAAAGTTATTGTTTTTCCTGGCTTCTGTTGAGCCAGTAATCCAAATACTAAGATTGAACCTACATATAAGGAATGAGTTAGGGTAAAGAAAAAACATGTAGGTCAACAGTTAAATTACAGAAGTTTATTCACCCATTTATTCCAGCAGTTCCTAAACTGGCAAGTCTCTAACCATCTCTAACCTTCATTCCATGAACAAAGTTTTTCACATTTCCACGAATCCTGACCTTTTAAATCAATATAGCACAAGGATTTTAACTTCTTGTAAAGGACTGGTTCATTAGAAGGAACCTTTAAATAAGTTTTGCTTGCCTAATTAAAACACACCAGGATTTGCCTAGCTTTCTCATTTGGGTAGGGCAGTTGTTGGTAGTGACAAAATTCTCCGTTAAGGGGTTTTGCAAATAAACTTGTATTTATATGATTGTAGAGATGGATATGGAGTCTGATATGGCTGCTTTTAAATAGTCCAATTTTAACTGCGTTAAATTGCTCAATTAATTACAAATTACCTATTTAATTTCAAAAGTTAAAGCTTCAGGAAAATTTTCGATTTAACTTGAAGTGATTTATTTCTTAGGT